AACGCCACATGTGTCCAAAATTTTATGAAAAATCACATATGCTAACAAAAGTCTTGCTAAAAAGCTTCTCTATTAGAAAAAACGACCCCAAAAATGCATGAATGAATTTGTTGCTAAAGCTCTCAGGCTGGCTTCTATATTCCCAGATCAGCATGAGGCAAAATCTCTCATAAAAACTAATATAAAGTGATATTATAACTCTCCTGTTGCATGTTTCGTATCTGCTTTACCTTTATCCTTTTGATTGTATTCCTTGATCAACAGAGCCTTTTGTTATTCCAATGGGTAAAGGCATTGATTTTTGCTTTCTCACCCTCTTTTATGGTCTTCTCATTTGATATATGTTCATCTCTTTGCACTTATCTTTCTCTTCCTATAGCTTCATTTTTCAGGGCTTGCTGGGTATACAACTGCAGCAAGTGTGCTCATTTCAGTTTGATGTTTTAATAGACAAATAAACAGGTATCACCTCCCTTCTCTTTTTTTATGGCTTATATCAGAAAGAGATATTTATTCAGGAAATGTAAACAGATTTACAGCAGAAATATTGTGCTGAGATTCTCTGCAACACCATAAATTTCATGGAAGGAGAGACGGTTATATCAGTCATGGCCATAACTAAAGTTAATACTTCAGTTTTGGGAGTTGCTATGCAACCTAAACACTGAATTTCACTGGAGCAGACAATGAAAAGCCTTGGCATTTTGACCCTCATGCAGTACAATGGGATGTTCTGTCTGCATTTTTGTCTTGCAAAATATATAAGGAGGCCAACCAAGATTGAAGGACATGGTAATAATAATAATAATAATAATAATAATAATAATAATAATAATTTCTTACAACCTGCCTTTTGCCTTGGCAATGAAGGCGGCTTACAAGTACAAATACAATACAGTATTATTACCTGTACAGACATAAACAATTCCTACAAACATCAACTTCCTACTATGTACATTTTTCCCTATAAACAAAAACATCTGGGACAAAAGACATGTCCCAAACAATTTATTATTTTTTGCCATTGTGATATTATTTATTTAGGCATTTATTTAAGCCAATGTAATTTATTGGGACCAAAAATTATTCATAACTTCCTTCTAGAAAAACATGATGCAGCAAAGCTGATGAAGGGTGCTCTGGTGATCAGAAGGTTGGATCTGTGTGGTGGAAATAGAAATTTCATCCATTTTACTGAAAACCATTTCAATCTGGGAACATCTCACCAAGGCAAGAAGTACATACTAGGTTTAAATTTATCTAATTTCCTTTTATTATTATTTCATCTTTTGTCTTGTGGCTTTGAGTGTTTGGTTGAGACATACTATGTTCTTGCACGCATGAACTCTCAATTGGACATGGGCAATTTTTAGATTCCAGTTTTTATATTCCAAGATGACTCTCTTTTTTATACTCCAAAAACTGAAATTCTCATTGGGGTATAAAAATATCCCACAACTCACACAAAGCAAGCAGTGGAGCCTAGTGTCTTTCATTTCATTGACCATGTTTTCCATGCATAATGTACATAATAACATAAGAATAGTAATGCTGCATCAGACCAAAGTTCTGTCTAGTAGAGTAGGGTTAAACAACTGCGGAATAGGCGAAGACTTTGGCTGCACCTAAACTGCAGAATCAATGTTGTTTCACTCCACTTTAACTGCCATAGTTCAATACTATGGAATTCTGGGATTTGTAGTTTTAAAATAAGTATTTTTTATTAACAC